GCCGGCCCCCCCCCAGCCTCTAAAACACGGACAGACATGCTCTAACCCCCTTGCCCCCTAAGTGGGAAGGAAAAGTGAATGAGGAAGAGAGACTTGTGGATTAGAAAACTAAAACAGCTTTAATGAAACAATAATAGAAATAGTAGTAAAATGATAAAAATAAAGAACCGTATACAACTATATTAAGTCCAACATTGAACCTGACTTGCCCTCAATAACAGTCCCCACTGGTGCTGCAGAGCAAGTGGCACTGGGGAAGCCCCAGGCTCCGCGGCCGCGGGGAGCTGGATCAAAGGAGCTGGATTTGGGAACTCGGGGTCGGGATCAAAAGCAGGAGATTGGACGGAGTCTGCTCTGGACACTGGCCATTGAAGAGTGAAAGAGAGAGAACCTAAACTCTTGTGATCACTCAATTTATACTAAATATGACATATATGGGATGGAATACTCTCATTGGTCACCTGTCCTGTCTATTACCCCCCAGAGGTGGAACCTGTTACTTCCCTGGGACCCCGCTTACTACCCGGCACCCCCAGCGTGGCACACAAGAGCCAGCAGTGGCCTTGGTCACTATAGGAATAAGTATCAGCAGGAGCCTTTCTGCATCCTAGTCCCAGGCAGTAACTGTAAACATCAGGTCTTACCACTGCCAGTAGCACACACTCTGCAAAAACACGCTACTAACTTCAGAAAGTGCAGCCTTTTAGAAGAGACTGAGCTGAAAAGTAAAAATCACTGAGCAGAATTGGTTTTCTTTAGCTCAGACCAGGACATATATAACAATGTAGGAGTTGAAGTTGTGGAAACCTGCTTTGAACTCCCCACTTAAAGACAGAAATAAATCTCATAAGCTAGAAATGTCAGTCATTTTTGTTACAGTTTCTTAAATTTCTTTTTTTTCTAGTAAATAAGGTGGTTCTCTGTTAACTAAGAGTGTACTGTGTGGTGGTTGCTGCATGGATTGATTTGTTTAGTTTTTCTTCCTAGGCATATGGCTAAGTGTAGTTAAACCTGTATCTTCAAGTGAACGTATGACTATTATCTAGAAGTGAAAACAAACTAGTAAACCCAACCAAAATGCAAATGCCAGAAATTTGCAGTTAGGAATTTTGCATTTAGAAATCACATTTTTAAAATTTAAATATCTTTTCCAGATATTAAATTTTATTTTGCCTTTAAAGGGAGATCTCTGTAAAAGACTAAACTTTCAGTACTTCCTGTGCCTTCAACTTGGATCCTGTTTGTAGAGATAAATATGAGGACGAGACAAATTTTCAACATGCGTGTTATCGGGTCGTGTATCCTCTTTAGCTTTGTCATGGATATCAGGTTCTGCTTTGGGTGAAATAAACCTTGTGAATAAATCTTTGTGCAGGTTTGTTCTGTCTGATATCTTTTTGCTTTAGTAAATAAAGAAGCTGGTAGTTATAAAGTGTTTAAAATTTGTATTTCAGAAAAATGATCCCACATTTCAACTCAAACTTCCTCCAAAGGCAGCTAGACCTGAAAAAGAAATTGACCCAGAATATGAAGAGAAGATGGTAAGTGTTTTCATAATGAAACATACTGCAACTTTTTATGCCATTTGTTTGTTTGCTTGAACTAGATCAGCAGAGTTATAAGAAGTTATTCTAGACTGTCAGAAAAGGAAAACAAATCATGATTCATTTAAATGTCTAGTCCAGTGTGGTGTTTTTCCCGGTGGCTAATGGTAGGTATTTAATGAAGAATATTTAATGAGAACAGAGAAACCAGTTAGTGATAGTTCTGTTAAATGCTGTCCCACTCTTCAAGGATTTTTATCTGCATGTTCTCTTGAGTTTGAGGCTATGTTTTTTTTTATACTCACTAGTTGTCAGTGTTGGGGTTTTTTTTTCCCATGGATTTGTCTGCTTGGTGTTTTTCACCTCATGTGGCTTTGGTTATCCACACTCTCCTGTGGCAAGGAGTTTCTATTCAATTGCTTTTTATGTTTAGAACTCTCCCCTTTGGGTTTTGAATCTGTCTCTACTGGCTTTATTTGATGACCCTTTGGGTCATGTTGGAGGCATCCTTAAGCTAATTCTTAAATGAGAGGAATACTGAAAATGCCAGTTTCTCATCATATGGAAACATAACCATTTTAAATGTTGATATGTGTGATAATGCGTGTCCTATAACAATACAAAAGAGTATCTGTCTAGGACATGAAGGGAGCTTGTAGTGCTGGAGAGGAGGGACAGCAGGGTAACTTTTGTATTACAAAGAGGCCAAAACCAGGAGGACATTGCAAGACTTCTTGAATGATGTGTAGTAATCTCTTGGTTGAAGCTGATATCTGTAGCTTACTGCGTTTTTCCAAAAGTTTTAACATTAAATGAATGTCTAATAATTAGAATAGACTTCGAAAGGATTAGATACCATAGAAGCCAGGGAAGCGTATTACTGTTAGACATAGAAAATGGATACCTACTTGTATGAATACTGAATTTTTAACCTGCGAGAAGACACAGAAGTAAATCTGTTGAGAATGAGTTGAGTAAATAATTAAACTTGATTTCACAGTAATACATGATGAATTAACATCTTTCCTAAATTAGTGTTAATTCAGTTGTTCTAAGAGGGAAAGGGAATAGGTGTGAAAAATAAAATAAAATCTACCTTTCATCAGTCATGCAATTGTGAGCAAGACGTTTACTGGATATCAAGGCGTGCTGCTTACGCCCTGCCAATGACCTTGCAGGCAGGTTAGCTTGCCAAAACCATCATGTATTTTTAGTTTAATATAAATCTTCTGAATGCGTTTGTTCCTATCCTATGATCATAAACATCCACATCTTTACTCCCCCGTTTAGAATTATTTTTTGTAGAAGTTTTACTTGAAATTTACAGTTTATTTGGTTTTCAAGTGATTTACACAAATGGTCCAATAATGCATGCAAGGGAAAAAACATCTTTGTAAATATGTTTATTTGCTGGTAAGTGGTATGCTACTGAAAGAAATGCATTGCCCTCATGTGGCAAAATCGTGCATTGCAGGTCGAGTTTATTTTTATTGCTCTTTGTTGTTGTTAAGAGCCTTTTTACTTGAATATAAGTTACCTGCGAAATAGCTTTATATTGTTTGTATGTTTCTTATCTGTTATGCTACAGAACTCCAATTTCACTTCCGTAGTTTCTATTGAGATATATAAATGAAATTATTGTGAAAATTGCTTTAGGTGGTACACTGTTACCTGATGTTTAGAAATGTCATGAACAAGCTAATAATAATTGCATCCTGTCAGATATCACTTGCAGTTTATATTTTCCGTAAAAATCATGTAACACGTTATAAATCTAGAGGATGTATGTTTTGCTGTGTTTATATAGTGAAATGGATATACCTCATTGGTGTGGCAAAACTGTTAAGCTTGAAATTTGAAATCTGACAGCAAAATTCAGTGAAAGCAATACTGAGCTGGTGAATCCATTCCTTTAGTTATACTTCTAAAAACAGAGCTACCACATTGTTGTCTTGGATCAAATCCTGATAGCCTTGAAGCTGATGGAAATTCTGTCACTGACTTGAGCAAGGTTAGGATTTAATTTCTTGCTGTAAGTCATAACCCTAGTTTTTTCTTTATCTTTTACTGACAGTTCTTTAAAGCATCCCTTCACAGTTGCTTGTGTGCCATGCAGACTTAAGCAATTTGTGCAAGCAAACTGGTTTTGGGTTGTTCTGCTAAACTAAGTTTTAAATGGGCATGAGCTGCTGGGCTGGGGTTATCAAGTTCTGCCACGTCTTCCAGATTGCTGTGGTATTCACGAAAGATCATTTGAACAACCACATGTTCTGCAGCACAGTTGGAGAAATCACAGTGGAAATTGTTGCAATTCACGGAACGTTTCCCCTGAACGCTGATGGAGTGGCAGTATTAAACACCAGCCAGGCAGGCTGGCAGTGGTCTTGTGGCTTTTTTTTTATAGGAACTGGTTGGAAACAGAAGTGCTGAGGTACTGACAGGCTGACTCCTGTTCTTGCCTCTGCCATGAAAGTGATTCTAAAGAATGTCTATCAGTATGGTGATACACGCTTTCCATATATTTTTATGTATATATAAATTGCTCTAAAGCAGTTAATGTGCAGCTGTAAGCTGAAGCAGCTCAAGAGCTATTTCATGATGCTTGTAGTCTGCCGAGTTGGCTAACAGTAGGCAGATGGTCTTATCAGTCTTTCCTACTAAAAACTATTCTCACTGGTGCCTGAATTCTGTTTCTTAATAAACATACATTTATTTTTTTATGATGAAAACTTTCTGATTTTTCTTTTTTTAATTCTCTCCCCACTTTGGAAACTAGAAAGCAGATCGAGCAAAACGGTTTGAATTCCTTCTGAAGCAGACAGAACTTTTTGCACATTTTATTCAGCCTGCAGCACAAAAATCACCAACATCTCCATTGAAAGTCAAGCTGGGACGGCCACGAATGAAGAAAGATGAAAAACAGAGTTTGATTTCAGCTGGGGAGTATGTTTTGTTTTTATTTCCAACTTCTTACACCTTCAAGCAAATTACACATTTTAACATACCAATTAGCTAGTGGTACAGAGATTGTGCTTTAAGTAAGTTCAGATCTCTTCCTGTTGATGGTGTATCATAATTTCTTTAAAAGCTGGTTGATGTATGCATGACAGTCCATCAACATTAGTATGACCTTGGATCAGAAATGCACTTTTAAAGTAGATTTCCTGATTCTTGCCACTTACCATGCTTTAGTCTATATTGTGGAGTGATTTTTGGAGCATGTGAATTAAATTTCTTTTGCATGACTCTGAACTAGAAGATGCATTGCAGAAATGCACCTGATGTGCTCCAGCTGCTAGTGGACTTGTTGGTGGGAGCAGAGTGGAGCTAGACCAAGTTAAAACAGGACAACGCGTCTGTGGTGTTTATGTTGGATCCTCAGCACCACTTGTCTTGCTCCACGGGTCTATCTGTGTTAGTAATGGAAGCGTAGCTTGCCTGTAATGTTTCTGAGGGGTCCTGTAATAGCAAGCAACTAGCTTTTGCAAAATGGCATTTTCTTTTTTAGAAGTTTTTAGAAATTGTTTTTTAGTTGAATATGTGATTCTTCTGAATGGTATAGTTATCAAGTAATTGAGTCTAAGGCCACCACTGACTTGTCTTGTATTTCTGTGTTTTGTATTAGAAAGTACCTCAGTGATGCTTGTTGTCAGAGTATAGTTATGGCTCTGGAGAAGAGGACTTCGTATCAGTGTTTCTAATTAAAGCTGGAATGAACCAGGATATAATTCTGGTCAGGGTACTAGAACACACAGAGTAGATGAATGATTTTCTGTTATCATTTGTCCCTTGATTTTATAGTCAGTGTTTTGAAATTAATTCATATAAACATGAATCTTGGGATTCTTTCTTTAGTTATCGTCACAGGCGCACAGAACAAGAAGAAGATGAAGAGCTGTTGTCTGAGAGTCGAAAAACGTCTAATGTTTGTATTCGATTTGAGGAGTCTCCTTCATGTAAGTATTATGACAGTTTTCTGATTGCTGTGATGAAATTAAAATCTGAGCAGATCACAATTAAAAATTTCTACTTGGAATTAGTATTTTTCTACTTAGAGGAATCTTATATTTACAGATGTGAAAGGAGGAACACTAAGAGATTATCAGGTTAGAGGTCTGAACTGGATGATTTCATTGTATGAAAATGGTGTTAATGGCATTCTGGCAGATGAAATGGTAAGCAGTAATCTTTTGAAATTTTTGTAGCAATTATTGAGCAAAATTCAACATTAAAGTGCCTATAGTATTTAGCTCAGTCCAGTAGAGCATGGTGCTGATAACACCAAAGTCGTGGGTTCGATCCCTGCTCGGTCCCCATGTGTTGCCTGATCTAGTGGAGAGGCGTCCCTGCCCATGACAGGGAGGTTGGATTAAATGATCTCTAAGGTCCCTTCCAGCCTAGGCGATTCTATGATTCTATGATTTAATGTATGTGCAGTAGTATGCATCATTCTACAACAGTTAGTATTTAATGCAACAAACATTTGCAGTGTAGTTTGCTTTATAGACTGTAAGTGGCAGAATTATCTAGTAGGAAAATTGATTGATGCTATTTCTGTATGGTGTTTCAGCAAATTTCTTCCCTCTCCCTTTTTTGTCAATGCAGGGTCTTGGTAAGACTCTGCAAACAATAGCATTATTAGGCTATCTGAAGCATTACCGAAATATTCCGGGGCCACACATGGTCCTGGTTCCGAAATCAACTTTGCACAATTGGATGAATGAATTCAAGCGCTGGGTTCCATCATTACGTGCTGTTTGCCTTATTGGAGATAAAGATGCCAGAGTAAGTGCTTTACATTTCAAGGAGGTACACATTATTTGTCAAAAACTAGCATTTGTGTGTGTGGAATTCTCCCTAAGTTACTTCCTTAGATAAAGTGGTTTTTAGTAATCTTTATACTAGTGTTGAAAACACAAGATGTTATGCTTTTAACTATGAGCAAAAAATGGAAATTGATAGGTGAAATAATAGACTGGGGTCAAAGAACAGCTGATTTACCTCTTTCTGGTGTCGTTTTGACTTTTTTGGACCTATTTTTTCTCTTGTGTTGCATTGCAACACATTGCAATGTGTTTGCTTTGTGACAGTATTCATTTTCTTTTATTGCCATCAATTTGTTACCTCTTTCTTCACCTTTTTTAGGTGACTTCTCCCACTCTGTGTTTTATGTCCACGTGTTGCCTTGTAACTAGGATTCTGTTGCGGAGTTTTTCATCTTTCATAGCGAAGGTGTTAAAATAGATACAGGGTGATTTTCTAACTTGGAAATCCTGTTATCCTTGGATATTCCTGTGAATTCTGTGGCTCCTCATGTGGATTGCATGGTTGCCTATTACTGCTTGAAGGTAGGAATGCTCTGCAGAGGGATCTGGACAGGCTGGATTGATGGGCTGAGCCCAGTTCTATGAGATTCAACAAGGCCAATTGTGGGGCCCTGCACTTTGGCCACAGCCACCCCAGGAAAAGCTCTGGGCTTGGGGAGGAGTGGCTGGAAAGCTGCCTGCCGGAACGGGACTGGGAGTGTTGGCTGACAGCCAGCGGCTGAATGTGAGCCAGCAGTGTGCCCAGGTGGTCAAGAAGGCCAATGGCCTCGTGGCCTGTACCAGAAATGGTGTGGCCAGCAGGACCAGGGCATTGATCATCCCTCTGTACTCTGTGGTGGTGAGGCTTCACCTCAAATTCTGTGTTCAGTTTTGGGCCCTTCACTCAAAGGAGGACACTGAGGTGCTAGAATGTGTCTAAAGAAGGGCAGTGAAGCTGGTGAAGGGTCTAGAGAACACATCTTAGCAGGAGTTGATGATCTTAAGAGTCTTCTGACCTGTGATTCTGTGAGAGGAACTGTTGGTACTGCCAGCAAGTTAGACAATCCCTTCCAGTGCTATGGTCTTGGATTTGACTGTACTGCTCTTCATAGATTGTTTTGATTTGAAGTCTGCTACTATTTGTGCCACAGTATACTTATTACTAGTTCCGACTGTGTTGAAGGGAAGCATGCACCTTCATTTTATTTGCTTTCAGAGTCTTATGTTTGTATTGTCATAACTTTTAATTTCTTCATTTTCTACTTATTCCCTCTGTTCTGTAGTGGCTAAAGCACCTCTGAGCTTACATTTGCATTTGCAAGTCAGTGCGTAGCATTGCACTCCTTTATTAGGTAGCTCTTCAAGGCTTGGGCTTGAACAGTTCTGTCAGCTGGAGGGGTCTGTGTACCCTGGTAATTAACTTCGTGGCGACCTGCATATGTAGCTTTTCCACAGGGTGATGTTCTTTCATGTGAAAGCATTGATATGCCTAGATATATGTATCCCTTACAAAACAGAGATGAGGCACAGGAGGGAGATTTTTAGGAAAGAGGGAAGGTGGGAATGGACTGTGTGAGTTGTTCTGAAATACTTTTTTTTATGGATTGTGTCTTTGGACTCATTAGTTTAGAGGGCTTTTTCCCCTGTTGGTAGTATGAACTGTATCTAAATTAGAGAAAAATTATGTTGAAGAGTAGATGTTTAATTTTGAGTAGTGGAAAATTTATGTTTTGCTTAACACATCTGATAATCTGTCTGTGCCTGTATTACAAAGGGTTGAAGGCTTTTGTCACAGTAACTTTCAGTAACTTTCGCTGAAAAGATGTTTTGAGTCTCCTTTTGTGTGCTAGCTTAGCACATCAGTAATGTTGGTGGGGTTTCACTGAGTTCCATATAAATTGTTCATGCTTATAGTGTTTATTAATTCAGATGTTCTGCTTTAGGCTGCTTTTATCCGTGATGTTATGATGCCTGGTGAATGGGATGTTTGTGTTACATCATATGAAATGGTAATTAAAGAAAAATCAGTCTTCAAAAAATTTAACTGGAGGTACCTGGTAATTGATGAAGCCCACAGAATAAAGAATGAGAAGTCTAAGGTAAATTCAGAATTATTTGATGCTTTCAGGATGGTTTGGCACAAAAGATTCCATCTGATTTTAGCTGATGATAAGTGTTGGGTGTGGTTTTGTTTCTTTTTTTTTTTTGTAAATGTAAGATGTAAGTTACTGGATGGTAAATATGAATTGCATAGGTAGCTCACTACCCTTACATTTAGTTGACATTTGAAACAATGTTTTCAGAAACTTATGAAAATTCATTATGCTTAAATGTACGTAATGATGATAACTATTTGTTGTTTTTCTAGCTGTCGGAGATTGTACGTGAGTTCAAGACAACAAATCGATTGCTCCTTACAGGAACTCCTTTACAGAATAACCTCCACGAGCTGTGGGCATTACTCAATTTTCTTTTACCTGATGTCTTCAATTCTGCAGATGTAAGTTGAGGTTTTGAAGTACAGTTTTATTGTTTTGATTCCCAATCTGCAGAAGAGAAGAATGACCAGCCTAGGAAGAGACATACAATGTGGAAGACCTGGATTTGTTAGAAGCTCAGTGGCTTACCTAGCTGTAGATGACATTTTCTGTGCTACCTATTTAAAACAGTGCATTCTGTTAGTGTACGTAAGGCTTCAGGCTAATAATAGCAGATGTAGTATTTTGAGTAGTTAAAGTATTACACGAAGTGGAACAAAATTTTAGAGAGCAATGCAGGATGAAGAGTAGGAAGCATCCAAATAGGAGTAAGCCTTTTCATACTCAGAATTTGAGTCATCTTTCTCCTCTTTTACTGTTAAGGTTTCCTTGTACTATATTGTTTCCATTATTTTTGCTCTGTTCTCCATGACATTTACGTAAAGATTCTGGTTTCTTTTTCTTTTACTGTACACAAGCTTTGAGAGGAATAACTCGGACACTGCAGCAATGATCACTGAAAACCATGGTAAATTAAGCAGAGTAATAGTACTTTGTCTGTGGAATTACTCAGTTGACTTGAATGTTGTAACGTAATGGGGAACTGGCACAGAATTGCAGGCTGATTTTATTTATTTATATATTTATTTTTCACTCATGGAAGTAATTTGTCTCAAGATTGATGTCACTCTCAGCTGGAGTGAAAGACAGTCAATGTGTCTGTTTTAAAACTACAAATGATAAACTGTTCATACCAATTATGTTTCTCACCACAGGATTTTGACTCATGGTTCGACACTAAAAATTGTCTTGGTGATCAGAAACTTGTAGAAAGACTTCATGCTGTAAGTAATTAAAGCTGTAATTGTGTGTCATTGTTAGCATACACAGTGTAAAAAGAAAAACAGATTGTTTCCCCCTTTATCTGAAAGTTGAGAAGATGAACATGAGGGTATTTATTCAGCTACAGAAATGCCCAGCAAAGTATTAATTAAATATTGGAACTTTGTATTATCGATAACTGCTTTTTTAACATTACTATTTGAAGCAGACAAAATCTGTACGTAAAATGTGAAAATTGAGAGTTTTGAGATCTTTTTGAAACCATTTATTATTGTGAATAGTATACTGATAAAAGTCATGCCAGTCTGAATAAAGACATGCCTTTACCTTTGTTTTACTGTGCATGAGATAAAAGAAATTTTGCACCATAGAGTAACAACACAAATCAGAAGAAAGTAAAACATACATTGCTTACCTTTGAAATATTGATGTGTTTTGTATATGCGGCCAGTAGAAATGAAGCAGAGCTAATGTTAGAAAGTAATAAACAGATTTTTATAACCTTGGTCTACTAGTGGACAACTTGATTTTGCAGATTTTAGCAGATTTTTTTCTAAAGGAGTCACCATGACAGCAATAGATATTGATTAGTTCTGAATAAATATCAGATAATTAAATTTTAATTTTGTATTTGAGGCAATCAATTTCATAAGTTCATCCGTGGAAAAACTCTTTAATTTTTCCAGGTTTTGAAGCCATTTTTATTACGTCGCATAAAAGCTGAAGTAGAAAAGAGTTTGCCTCCAAAGAAGGAAGTAAAAATTTATCTTGGGCTTAGTAAGATGCAGAGGGAATGGTGAGTTATTTACATCAAAGTAAGATTATTTTCTTATAAAGAACTCTACAGCTCTTCACACAGGTGTTTTTTTTATTTATTTCTTGTAGTTGCATGTTAGGATAGTCAGATGGAGGAGCTTCTAGCTCGTTTTGGGTTTGTGTTTTTTTTTAAAGATGCACAATTTACAAAGAGCTCAGGAATGTAAATGACAAGTATTGGAAGGAAGAAAGCAGAAACTTGTCTTCCTTTCCTAATTTTATTTGAGAGAACATATGCCTGCTAAGTTTCCTTCTTTGATCCAAGTATGTATGCACCAATAAGAGGCTGAGCTGAAATTAAAATAAAACCTTAAGGAGCCACATACTCAGAAGGGGTGTGAGAAAAGGAGCCAGGTCAGTGTAGCAGCTTCAGTCAAATAAATGATGTCTTTAATCCACTTTATAGTCCTAAAAGGAAAAGTGTAAGGTAACCCAGTAAATGACAGATCTTTGTCACTCAGTAAAATTTCATTTCATGTTTAGCTATGAATTTATAAATCCTTTCTATCTATCAGATATTTTCACCAGATTTAATGATATAGCTCATTATAATGTAAACAAAACAAACATATCCAGGAATAAGTAATTGGGATATTGTAGGGTTTCAGTCATGTTTTAAATATCAAATAAAAACTGAGAGTTGTTCAAAATTGACTGTAAAACTTTAGGTATACAAGGATCCTGATGAAAGATATTGACATCCTGAATTCGGCTGGGAAAATGGATAAGATGCGTCTGCTCAATATTCTGATGCAGCTGCGGAAATGTTGTAACCATCCTTATCTATTTGATGGTGCTGAGCCAGGTCCTCCTTATACCACTGACACGCATCTTATCACTAACAGTGGTAAAATGTTAGTTCTGGATAAACTGCTAGCAAAACTCAGAGAGCAAGGTGAGTACTGTTTATGAACAGCAGTGATCTGAATGCTCATTGTAAGTAAAACTGTCTTTCAAAAATTGCATAAATTAATTCGTGCCTTTCTTCTAGTAAATGCGTTCATTACATCAGTGAGGTTTTTTGTTGGAAATCATTTTTCTGTAGATCTTAACACATGGAGGGAAAGAATTCTTAACAGGAGTGATGGGGAAGACTGATAGTATGGAGAAGCAGAAGGGAAGTAAGAGCAGACCCTCCCTTCTGCTGCCTTTAAGAAAATTTCTGATGAGAGTGTTAGTTTGTCTGTGCACATCAGTCATCTGCTAATTATCTTACCATGGTTTTAAGTGTTCTATTTCTTGAGCTGTGTTATTTCTTCTGTATAAATTATCAAATAACCTGTCTTGAGGAGAAGCTAATCAATACCAGAAAAGTAACTTCAGAAGGAGGACTTACTTGAGTAAGTTGGGCATAGTTCAGAATATTTCACATAAATTCTTACTTATGCTCTATGATAGGCTTTCTGAGAACCATAAAACCAACAACAAAATCTTCTGTGTTGTGCTGTCAGGTTCCAGAGTTCTACTTTTTAGTCAGATGACTCGCTTACTGGATATTTTGGAAGACTATTGCATGTGGCGTGGATATGAGTACTGCCGACTTGATGGACAGACACCACATGAAGAAAGAGAGGTGAGAAAGTTGTATATAAACAGCAAATGACTTTGTTTCACATTTTAGATTATTAGGAAGTTATTTACATATATATGTAAGTAGCTACATTTTACAGTTTAAAGTAAAACAAAAATGCTACAATTAAAAAAAAGGCTGCCAAGGGTATATGTGTTTACTGAGTAAAGTGCGTAGTAAAGTAGGTTTTATTTGTTCCTCAACTAAGTGAAAATAGTGTGGATTTCAAAGAAATTTCCTTGAAAAGCCACCAGCATATTGGAAGCTTATCTGAATACACCGATACTTCAATTTAGACGCTTTTTCTTTTAGGAAGCAATAGATACATTTAATGCTCCCGACAGCAGTAAATTCATTTTCATGCTGAGTACCAGAGCTGGAGGTCTTGGAATTAATTTGGCAACTGCTGATGTGGTTATTCTCTATGATTCGGATTGGAACCCTCAAGTAGATCTGCAAGCCATGGTGAGTTAACTTCTAATACCCATTCATTTGTTAAAGTTTTCATTGTTCTGTTTTGTTTTAGTGTTTCAAGAACTTGCATTTTTTTCTTATTTTTCTTGACTTTTTGTATTTAATAGCAAGAAACAAAGGAATTAAATAAAAAGGGATGAACAGAATTATGGAAGAAACTACATATTTCTCTGTAAATGTCTTAAGATTACTCAATTATGAAAATACTTATGTCAAAATACTGTATTAATAGTCTTCATCCATAGAATTATACTTAATTCTGTCTTTCCAGAAGACAACAGTAAGTGATTAACAGAGGACTGTTTCCGAAATAATGGCAAAGAAGCAAAAGCATGCAGATGTATATCCCTTCCTTTGGGAAGCTTATGTTTTTGCAATCCAGCTTGTTTCTGTATAAGTATAAAATCATTTGGTGGTGATGCCAGGGGATAAAAAGTAACTTACCTTTGGATTAATCATACTGAAATCTCTTAGCGTGCTGAATATAAAAAACCCAAAGTCTGTGATTTGTTTCATGCGGAGTAAAAATCACGTAGAATCATAGAACAGCTTCAGTTGGAAGAGACTTTAGACGTCATCGAGTCCAACCTTTGTCGCAGCCCTATCAACACCACTAAACCATGTCCCTCAGCACAACATCGACCCTTCTCTTAAACACCTCCAGGGATGGTGACTCAACCATCAACATGAGCAGCCTGTTCCAATGCCGGACAACCCTCTCAGTAAAGAAATTCTTCCTAATATCCAACGTGAACCTCCCCTGGTGCAACTTAAGGCCATTTCCCCTTGTCCTATCAGTTGCTGCTGGGGAGAACAGACCAACCCCTGTCTCACTACAACCTCCTTTCAGGTAGTTGTAGAGACCAATAAGGTCTCCCCTCAGTCTCCTCTTTTTCCAGGCTAAACAGCCCCAGATCCCTCAGCCGTTCCTCATATGACACATGTTCCAAATCCTTTACCAGCTTGGCAGCCTGTCTCTGTACTTTCTGCAGCACCTCAATGTCCCTCTTGTGGTGAGGGGCCCAAAACTGGACACAGTACTCAAGGTGAGGCCTCACCAAAGCTGAGTACAGGGGCATGATCCCCTCCCTGCTCCTGCTGACACCATTGCTGATCCAGGCCAGGATGCTGTTGGCCTTCTTGGCCTCCTGGGCACACTGCTGGCTCATGTTCAGCCGGCTCTCCATCAACACCCCTAAGTCCCACTGATCCTTCCTGCATAGAACCATAGAGTTCATAGAATTGTCAGAGTTGGAAGGGACCTTTAGATCACCTAGTTCCAACTCCCCTGCCATGGGCAGGGACATCTCCCACTAGATCAGGCTGCTCAGAGCCCCATCCAGCCTGGCCTTAAAAACTTCCAGGGATGGGGCTTCCACCACCTCTCTGGGCAACCTGTTCCAGTGTCTCATCACCCTCATGGTCAAGAACTTCTTCCTCACGTCCAATCTGAACCGATCCATCTCTAGCTTCAAGCCATTCCCTCTAGTCCTATCACTACCCAACATCCTAAAAAGCCCCTCACCAGCTTTCTTGTAGCCCCCTTGAGATATTGGAAAGCCACAATAAGGGCTCCTCGGAGCCTTCTTTTCTGCAGACTGAACAGCCCCAACTCTCTGTCTGCATGACTGGGAAGTAGAGTATTTGTTCTGTGCTTTGTGTTTTTTTGGAACGAAACACATCAAATATTTACTCTGAGTAACTCATCATTTTGATAGGCATTCTGACTACCAATAGTAGACCTGTAAACTGATGAGTATGATTTGTGAGGTTTAGTAGGATTTTCAGGATTTTGCAGGAGAGTAAGGTTTAATTGCTCGTGTGTAAATGACAGTCAGAAAATCCTGGTATCAATGGCTTTAAAGACAGTAGTTTTACTTTTTTGTTTAAGAGTACAAAATAATATTGTAATTCACGCTTTCCAGAGCGAATAAACACTGTGTGTTTTACCTGTGCCATGTGAGCTGCATATTGATGCTTTAATGTAGCTAGCTTGGGACAAGTGCACAGTATTAAAGCTGTGGCTGCATGGACTTTGCCAGTGGAATTAGTATGCTGAGGCCAAGGATGCCAAAGTTTCAATACCTATGTCAAGTGAGAGGATTAGTTTGAAAGAAGTGCAGGTGTCTGTATGTATATGCTGTTGTATTCACTTCCAAGTTGCATTCAGTTCAGACTTTGAGTTATCTTCATTTACAGTGAGGGAGATGCATTTATTACTATAGTGAATGACCCAAACTTAAAAGCTATAATAACCAGATATAAGTAAAAATTACCATACTGATTTTATGTTTTTGTATACTGTTGAATAATCAATGAACCAAGAAATACATGTTATTTTCAGTCTGCTGTTTCTGCCAGCTAACTGTGTACTGCTTGTGAGTTTTTGTTGCTGAACACTCACTGATTTGTGTTTGTTAGGATCGTGCGCATCGTATTGGTCAAAAGAAACCAGTACGGGTGTTTCGACTAATCACTGATAATACTGTTGAAGAGAGGATTGTAGAAAGAGCTGAAATAAAACTGAGACTGGACTCTATAGTTATACAACAAGGTATCAACTGCTGTATATGTTTGTCTGCAACAGAATTGTTCAGTCCATTAAAGTATGGGTTAAATAACTGTACAAATGTGCTGTGTGAGACAAAGCAGGCCTTATGTATAATAGCAGTACTATATCAACCTAAGAAATTGTAATGTAAACATTATTCACTTGTTCAGCTGAAATTTTTGAAGAGACTATTTTCCTAAATAATGTGGGCATAGACTTCTATTACGACCCTAAAAGAGGAAAGGAAACTATGGCTGAATAGATGTTACTTGGCTTTTGTCATACGTTAAAGAGAAAAAAAAGACATGGTCCATGATAGATAAAAATAACTGCATAGTTGTGCTTCTTACCATGTATGAATTTACTGAGCATTGAAACTGCTTAGGGTATCTTAGCATAGGAGGTCTTAAAGAGTTGTTTATCACAAGCTAAAGTTCCTAAGCTAAATTTTGAAGGTTGGATGTATTTTGAAAAGGATGGGCTACTGAAAAGACGATGGTCAATATTTTGATGGTCTCTCAAGAGACGAGACAGAATCAGTGAAATTTTAGGACAGAAATTAGAATTTTTGGAAAAATACTCAGTGATTTGTGTTGAAATTAGTGAAGTGAGTATTAAAAAATCTTAATTTACTTCTTAATGGCTATTACAGAATACTTGGTCATTTTTCATTTTGAAATGAGATTTTGATCTTAAAAGTTCAGCTAACTGTAAGAATAAGATCTTACAGATAAAATTTGGATTACCTGAATGGGAATCTTTCTTTGTTATGGCTTGATCCAAAATTGCTGTATCAAAGTTTCTGATTTTCTGTTTATTTTTAATGCAAGTGAAATGTGATTTTTTTTTTTTTCTGTGCAGTTTTTCCATTTTTTTCTTTCTTGTTTTGCCAGTGAACTAAAAACGTCCGCTGTTTGCATGGTCCTGGAACTTCTGTATCATAACTTTCACCATGTTTTCTCTAATTTTAGGAAGGCTCATAGACCAACAGGCTAACAAACTGGCAAAAGATGAAATGCTGCAGATGATCCGACATGGAGCCACGCATGTTTTTGCTTCCAAAGATAGTGAGCTGACAGAAGAAGATATAACCACTATTTTAGAAAGAGGTGAAAAGAAGGTTAGTGAACAGTTTTGCGTGGAATTTGAAATGTGTAAAACATGAAATATGTATGCACAAAATAGTAATTAAATCTGAATATGTAAATCTATTTTTTTCCCAAATAAGTAAAGCTTATAGTTTTGAAGGAGTAGAATTAGTGACCTATAACTATTTTCAAAGTTTAGACTGTGCGCACCACATCTTAGCACTGTTTATTTTGTGGGCTTTAAGAAAGATGTAAATGTTACGCCAACACTTCTAATACACACAGAACCTTTTTGGAGCTTTATCAAGCAGTAAATAGGTCTATGGAAAAAATGAACTACCATTTCAGATCTAAAGAGTTGGCCGTAAATATCATTTAAATTTTACAAGTAGGTCATACAGTTGTGTGGTTACATCCTATCATAATAAAATTATTTTAATAGAGAATCTTGGGGTCAGATTTTTCAAAACTGAAAAACACTATGGGCAAATCTCCTTACAAGAAAAAAGTAAGTAAAAGTTTAAAGGAGAAAAAGACATTGAGAATATTTTAATAATGATAAAATCTATTTTGGGTTGTGGGTTTGTTTGTGTGGGTTTTTTTCAGAAAAGACTGAACAGCTTGAGTGAGCTTAAAATTATCTTCCTTTATTTTTAGACAGCTGAAATGAATGAACGATTGCAGAAAATGGGGGAGAGCTCCTTACGAAATTTCACTATGGACACAGAGATGAGCTTATACAACTTTGAAGGTGAAGATTATAGAGAAAAACAAAAGGTAATTTTTCTTCAAGTCTCTAAGACTTTAGAGAGACAAGCTTAAAGGCCATACTAGAAATGTTATGGTTATAAAGGTTATTCTAGAGAAGTAAGGAGCCACTGAAGAATTCACTTAGTTCTGGAGAAGCATCAGTATTCTGACTTTTTGTTAAATTAACTTCAAGCCCTGCTGCTTTTCTTCACGGTAAACTCTGATAATGTTGCTCAAATTTTATCCTTTCTGAAGCAAAAATACTGTGTTGCAATCTTATTTTACTGCCACATAACCAAGAGGAAAACCAGGCCTAATAATGATTTCTTGTGTGGAACTTAAAGTCTTTTTTTGCAGCGAAGGTTTTAGTCACAAGCATTAATGTGAACTGTTTGTGCAATGTTTTACCAAATTATAGAAGGATCATCCAAACAAAAAGTGTTACTCAGGGTATCGCAATGTTACCTTTGTGTCTCTGTTTTGTACAGGACATAGAGTCAAGGTATCCTTTAGGTCTTAATCTGGAATCAGGTATATGAACTTTTATTTAACTAGAGAATGCCTTTCTAACCCAGGTTTCTTGCCAGTTTTGAAGAAGCATTTAGAAAAAGAAAATATCTTCTGAGAACAGAGTGGAGCGTGTGCATGTATACTGAAGATTCTTTTTTGATTTTGATAATTTCATTACAAGAAGCCAGCCAAATACAGCACAGTCTTGAAATACGTTTTTATAACTTTAATTTCGTTAAGACTAATTTGCTGCTGAATGGATTTTTTTTTACCAATGTTGTAGTGTTATTCATTGTGATATTTAGAGGAGAACCAATTCATTCATATCACAATATATTATAGAATTCAGAGCTCGAGTCCGCAGTCCTTCCGTTGTGTTTCGACAGGTGTACTTCAGTCACCTGAGTAGATTAAGTAGAATATCACAGAATCACAGAATCATCCAGGTT